GAAATTTTCATTTCTGCCTTTAGAAGTAATTCCCTAACACACTTTTGTGCTTTACTGATTACTTATTTTAAAAGAAGCTTGTGTTTCCTCAGCTAAATCATTCCTTGGAAAAAGAAAGACCTATGCAGGGCAGTTTGAATTTGCAAGGCTGAACTGTGATTATATGTAAACAGAAATACTACATGTAATGATGGGTGTGTGGAAAACCCCCTTGGAACTAGCCTGCTCCTCCTTCAAACCCCTTAGTAAGATACAGCCCCCATGGCAGAGCATGCAATTTATGATGACAAGGAGTAAGGGAAAGATAAAATTTCCACTTCAGCCATCTTTCACTGTTACTGCTTTTAATTGTTTTGACAGGGCACATTAAAAAAAAACAAAAAAATTCTTCTTTTTACCCTCTGTTATTTTATACTTTCCTTAGATAGCGGGTCCTCTGAGCTAAAAAACACGTCACGCACATTATACAGCACCAAACTTATGGTAAATCTGATCACAACAGAGACCTGTGAAGAGTCTCCAATAAAAACACACATACATCCCCTTTCACACTGTAAGAGTAATTTAGTGTCTTGATGAGAAAATTCCCATTAAGCAGAAACAAATACCATTTATGGCTTAACCCTCAAAGGCTGCACAGTCCCCACCAAACGGAGGGTAAATATTTTGCATTAACCTACCCTGATTCTCAAACATGTATATGCTGAAAAAGTGCAACACTTTTTCCTGTTATATTCGTACAGGGTATAACTGAGATGCAATACTGTGCCTCAAGTGGAAAGGCAGCACGGAGGAGCGAGGGAGGGTTAGGACTACACTTCAGCAAAGCAGAGTGCGGGAGGGGAGGCAGCTGCGGTGCGTGCGGAGGAGCGGCGGCGAGCGCGGGGTGCACTGGGTGCCTGAGCACGGCCAGGGCTGGCACTGCTGCGCCCATAGCCCCGGCACACGGATTTTCCCCTGGAGTAGAGAGAGAAATGGGAAGGAGACAAGCTTTCAGGTACTCCCCTTTGGTGGCAAACTCTTAGCAGTATTGTAAAAGATACACAATCAGCTTTTATAGGAAAACAGCCACTGAACCCAAATTCGGTTTAATTGTTGCCACACCAAGATAGCAGATTTTCTGCTTAAAGGCAGAATTCTTTCTTTGCCTACACAGGAGCCGTGCTTAACAGGAGCAACGCTGAAAACTGAGAAAATCCAACTGTGGCATTGTGCAGTAATTGCACAGTAATAAAGACACAGCATAAAGTGAAACTCTGTTTAACCAGTTTATCCAGATACTGTCACCTGGCATTCACTCTGGGTCTCCATATTTTAATTTTTGCTTGAAAATTACAGTGAAGTTTTGCTTAAAAAAAAAAAAAATTAAGTAGTGAACACCGTTCCTTTTAAAAGGAGAAATATTTAATTTTTAGTATTTTTAATGCTTAATATTTTTCTTTTAAAGCTTTAGAAAAACAGTATTATGAATATACTGTTTCTGCAAGGCAACCCCGCTCCTCCAAACACTTACACAACAGGGCTCCAATTTCACTTGAAGTGTTTGCAAGATTAAGACCCTAAAAGCCAAGGGTGCTAACATAATACACCTATTTTATAAAACTAGAGAGAAAGAAATCTTGTACAGACGGAAGAAAGCTTCCTCAAAATACAGACCCAACCTCCCTTTACTTCAAATTAAATATATTCACATTATTTTTAAAGGTAAGTTGTGACAACCTTGTTGATTAGTGCAATTCATGTGGCAGCATTCACTTTTCTCTAGCTCTCTACTGCATACTGAAAATAAGGCAATTAAATGAGAAAATTAATTCCATTAATTAAAAATGTTCAGTCTCAAGCAAGACAGAATGATCTGAGTGAGAATTATAGCTGTATAAATGTACATAAAACAAAAGGTTTTCCTTGACATGTACTTTCCTTTAGAAAGGATAAATTTTGCAGCACAAAACAATGATAATGCTTTTTTAACAGTATCATAAAGCTGGAGAGAGATATGAAAAGGTCTGGTTTATCTTTTAAAGAGAAAACCCCTGATGTATGAGGGAAAATTTACAAGTAAAATACCACCCTTCCCACAAATTCCTTACTGGTGAGCCTGAGTGAAAACTCTGGTCAAGTCAGGAAAGAAAATCATTAAACTTAGCTGAATCCATAAAGCACTGTAGCTGGAGTTTCAATACAGATAATTTTATAGTAAAATTAAAATAGAAGCCCTTTTTAATTATATAAAGTGTGCACATTATTACTGAGGAGAGGAATACATGCCTTCCTCAAGAACCATAAAATTGGCTGCTGGGAATTAGACTTCAGCTGCAATTATTATGTGGTCCTATAAAGGATATTGAAAGTCTGATAAAATTGCACCCTTGTCATGTAACAGTGATGCTTAATGCTAAATAACCACTCCGCAGCATTCCAGTCATAGCTTTCTCAAAACATCATAGGTCCCTTCTCACACCGAAAAGAAAACATAGCAGGATTTTGGAGGTAAAACTATACCTAAATATTTGAAATACCAAACGGACAGGTCAAAAGATATGTAAAGCCACACAGAGGCAAAACACATGTGAAAAATGAATACTGATGGTCTTTTATAAAGGAAAGCCCTCCATGGATACATACCCAACGTACAAGACTACATACGATGAGGAGGAAATAAAAGAACCCCAATACAGTGAAGCAAGCCCCTAACTGCATAGGCCTAACTGAGCCCTACCACGTCGTGACGGGTACCAGTGCCATACACTCCTAATGGCTGTTTTTGTTGTAGTATGTGTTGTAAACAATGAGTATTTGTTACGCCTGCATAGAGCTACAGGAGACTGGCCCGACTTCTGCTCGAGAACCTGGAATCTGCTTTTAGCAACATCAGTAGGCTCCTCCTGTGCCTCTCAGGCCTGCAGATAGAGCATGGGACTAAAACCTGTAGATATTTCTAATCCCACAGACTCCATCACACTCACAACTTAGCCAGGCCGAAATTTTTACATGTAGTAAGAATATCAAAGAAATATTTCTCTGACACATAACATAAGGCATGTGCAGGGGAAGGCTGGACAAGAGAGAGATTGTGCAGTGTGGAAGAAGGGGTGTAAATTTTGCTCTTGCAAATGAAGGAAAGGAGAAAATTCTTTCTCCTACAAAGAAGTACTGACAAAGTCCCTCACCATTTAGATCCCACAGCATGGGTGGGATATATGTCCAACCTTCTCTGTAAGGCTTCGGTTTGACTCTGCTGTTCAAATCCCAGCACCTGTGATAACGCCAGGCTTCAGAAAAAAGCCTCTGCACAAGAGCATGAAAAGGATCCCACACAGCTCTTGTTTGACACGACTACTCAGTTGTGAAAAAAACCAGACCGTTAGAAATCAAACCTGCTTGCCTCCCAAATCACGGCAGGAAACAAGCACCTGGGGCTGTGTTAGTATGGAGATGGAGGGGCTGCAGCTTCTCTCCTTAGCACTGAATGGTGGACTTGCAGGCTGCAGGTATGTGGGGTACATTTTCACGGAGGGGTTTCCTTTACAAACCAGAGCTGTGCGAGCCCGTCCCATGCCCTTGCTGCTCGTGCCCGTGCAAACTGCCTGCACCCTGTAAGCAATGGTCAGGAGCCCCTCCGAGTCATCCGCCTCTTCCCACGGCACGAGCAGATGTGCAAAAGAAGCTGTTCACCCATGGAACGTTACTAAGACTATGAGCAGCAAACAAGTAAATGAAAACTCACAGACCATAGCTGATTAACCTAAAAAACAACATTTCTGAGGCAATTGGGGTCTAGGATGAGCATGGTAAGTCCCTGCATCTCTCTGCATATGCTGCACTTAACACAGCAGGAACTGGCCACTGGGCACTACTCGACTATAAATGTGAAAGCATAAAAAAATATGTATGTTAGCTCTGACTAAGCATCTGAGAAACACTGACCTTTTAACCAGTTAAGCTGTAAACAAAACATTAAAAAATTAATTTATATTTGAAGCATGCATCAAATGCGCTCCTTAAAAGGTAAAGCAAGTAAAGACTAGGGTGCACTTTGCAATGAGGCCTTAGAAGTATTAATTATACCTCAAAACCTCTCTTGAGGTAAGTATTTTGAATATTATATATAATGTCAACGTTTTATAGAAGTATAAAATCATACACACACACTGTCATATGCCAACAGCTCAGTCAGGCCAAGATTTGGCAGTGGAGACTTGGACTGGTAACTCCCTCTCACCTTTGGGTGCAGTTGCAAAAAGAAAAATCTGTTCAGACAGTATTTATCTACCATTGGGGAAAACAAAAAATCAACTCCCAAAATGTAAAGAAATGAACTGGAAACTTCTGATGCCAAACATAAAAAAAGATGAATACTGCCAACAGCTCAGTCAGGCCAAGATTTGGCAGTGGAGACTTGGACTGGTAACTCCCTCTCACCTTTGGGTGCAGTTGCAAAAAGAAAAATCTGTTCAGACAGTATTTATCTACCATTGGGGAAAACAAAAAATCAACTCCCAAAATGTAAAGAAATGAACTGGAAACTTCTGATGCCAAACATAATAAAAGATGAATACACATACAATAAAGGCCTTTGAAAAAAATTTATGATCACATTTACACTGAACAGAACTGAAATTTGGTAGTGACTTACTTTTCAGTAAGGCTTTTTTTTTTTTTGAAGGTATGAAAAATTTTCTCTGTCCTTCAAGATGTATCTTTTTTTGTTAAAAATGTCAGAACCCTCTCATAAACAAATTACTGAGAATCACACAATATTGTAATAATATAAAATGATTCATACAAACATTAAAATGTAAATGCAATGAACAGTTTTAAGAGAAGCCATGAAATGTGCCTTAGTTATAGTTCTTTCCATTAGAAACAATACCGGAGTTATCAGGCTCAGAATAAAACCATTGCTCACATTTACCTCATCAAAGGTAGAAAAAATGCCCAGTAGCATTCACACGAACATAAGCCATCAGTTTTTCAGAATACGGAAATAATTTGCTTACCTGGAACATCAATTAATCTCTTATAAACATTCAAGAAGGCTGCCTCTGCTTCTTTGCTTCTTTTACCCAATGCGTCAATCTAAAAGGGATGGTGAGAAAAGAAGGCTTTTAGACTTGTTCCAATACAACTCTCACACTCAGAGCTATAAAATACATTAATATCTTTCATATAAATACATAAAAAGGGAACCCAAGTCTCCTGTGTACAGCTCCTATACAAGCAGCCTTGTAAGAATATTTCTGGTACGTTTGTACTGAATATAATTTAAAGTCCTGTTTCAGCACAGTAGCAAGCATCAATATTTTTAGGAACACTACTGTCTATTGTGATTCTTTACTTTAAATCTTTATAAAAAGCATGGTATTTGCTAGACAGGTTCTCTCCTCAACAACTGTTTTCCTTTACCACTTACTAAGATCTAACACAACAAATGGGAACTGCATGTACTTTGGACGTCACGCTCTGCCTTTACTGTGGCAAATATATTTTTCTATTATTTCCACTAAGCCTACAAGAGGATGAAAAGATGTACTTGTTGGGCACCCTGTGATACTTAACACTAAACAACTGTGAATCTTCTACATGCAAATAGTTTTCTAATAAAGCTCAGGCACAGACCCGTAGAGTCTATACTGTCTTGCACTCATGATCTCAAGCCAGGCTCCCCTGACTCGCTTCTCTGTATTTTATAATACACGCAATACTAATCTAAGAAGCTGTCTGCCCAGGTGAGGCAAAATACTACCTCACACAATCTGTTATCTTCCCCTAAATCTGTATTTTCATCTGAAACTTCATTTTACAAGGAAAGGCACTTTATAGCTCTGAGAATAAAATACTTATTCCACAGCAACTTTTTTTGGTAAACATGTATTTTCCTAATGTACTAGAAAACTGAGGATTTACGATTACTAAATATTGACAAAAAAACACCAAACTGACCCAAGACCAGGTCCACTGAATTAATACTCCAAAGCAGAAAGAGACAGAAAGGGAAACAGGAAAGCCTGACACAATTCTGCAGCGGCTTACCGAAATCAGGAAACTGCAAGTATGGAGATTATCGTTCCCATATTTTAATAAAAAGCAAGGAAGGATCTGAAGAACTACGGATACAAAGACCTGATATCAATTCTTCTGTGTATTTGAAAAGCAGTTAATATTATGAAACCATTTAAAGGTGTGTACGTCAACATGTGCTAAAAAAGGAAGGTCCTGTCTGAAAAACGTCCTTGAATTCTTTCACTACATTATTGATTTGGTAGATAAGGCAGAAACAATGGACAGAGTTTACTGTATCTGTATTTCAGGAAAGTATCTGATATTTTATTATACGAGAGGGAGATTTGCAGAATTAGAAAGCGTGCTACAAACCCGCCCGGCTGCGGTGGTTTGCAGAGCGCTCTGGCACAGGAAGCAGAGGGTGCCAGGGAAAGGAAGCGGCGCAGGGAGGAGGAGAGATAAGCAGGAGGGTGCTGCGGGGTCAGATTTGGTGCCACTTCTGTTTACTTTGTAAGAAAATGACTTTGCAAAGGGAAGGATTTGGGGGGGGAGGAAGAAAATCCTACAATGTAGATGATTAAAATAATGGCGGGAGTCAGACGCAAAGTGCACAGGAGCAGAGCGCAGGAACGCCACGTGACTTGTGTAGATTAGTCTTATGGCTGGTAAGTGACTTGTAGAGATCATTACGGAGAGGATTAAGGCCAGAAAACCAAAGGACAGGGACAATTGTAGAAATTACACAGAAGCACAATGCACAACATATAAACCAAGAAAAGACTTGAGGGGAGGGGTCAAGGAGGAAAATAAGGACACTGAAAGCATCTGCACAGCGTTTGGCAGCAGCAATGAAATCTTGAGAGATATGGCAAGAGGCTGTAGAGAGACAAGTTATTGTAACACAATACAAGACTGTATTTAGAGAAACAAACCAAATTCCCATTTTGCTTACATCCCCCCAAAATCTGGATTAATTTATGTAGCTTGGTGGAGGTGTAGCGTAACTGAAAACCTGACCTATTTGCAACTTATTCTTATCAATTAAGAAAGAAAAAAAGAAGGGTATTGGAAAGATGATAAACAAGCAGCAGAAGCCAAAACGACGGAGGATGTGGAGAGCAGATATAAATTCTCAAGAAATGCTGGCCCTGCTTGTCTTTTAGAGTTTACCAAGAAAAGCTACGGAAAGGCATTGGAATCTCACAGGGCATATGACGTGCTGGAGAGCAAGGGACTGATGGTTGTGAATAACCCATTTATTAATTTGAATTCAAGCAATCACAGATGGACTGATGCTCATTAGGGAATGAGAACATAAGTAATTTGGTTAGAACATTTTCACACAAAGAGTATTTGAAATTAGAATACGGAACAAACTGCCAAAGGCAGAGAGGCACCGGGTAGTGTAAATCAATGCTTGCGAGTATCAGACACTGTTTGTGAACGGGCGAGAAAGGAGGGGGCAGCCATCAGAAAGACTTTTGCAGTTGAGATATTTCATGGGTACATAAAGACAGACTTCGAAGGCCAAAGCACACCATATGTTAGACTTCTGGACTTTAATGTTCCCACATACAATTTTCTCTCGCTGCTGCTCAGCAGAGTACAGCCAAATTTAAATTACTATTATTAAATACAATTAGCATTACAGAACTGATTCTGTACTGTATTTTGAAAAATTCATTTGCCCCTTTTACGAAAACCAAAGCATTTAAAATGCTTGCATTTCTGTGAAATAACAGGATGGATTTGTTTTCCTATTACAGTTTTTTCCCACTTTAATAAAGGGCATTTGTACTTATATTCTCCCTAAGTATTACAAAAGGTATGGTTTATTCACAATATAAACCAGAATTGAAACAACATCTTCCAAGGAGATCAGAGACTTTCTGACGGAAGCTGTTTGTAAATCACAGGAACTTTCACACCTTTTTTTCCCCTCAAATTCAGAACCAGAATTCCAAACAGTCCCACCAGGCAGAAACATTTTTTTTGTTTTAGTTGTTAAAAAAAAAAAAAATCCGTCTGTCCAGTTTTAAACTTCTATTAAAAATGAGCACCGCAACTATTTTATATCTTAAAAGAAAATTTAGAAAAAGCACCATGACAACTTTAACTGGAATAAAAAAATATTGAAGTATGCCAGCTTCCAGCTGCGTAAGGAAATACAGAATGAAAAAGACATCAAAAATAGAAAAATATAAATGAAGTCCAGAAACAGAGGAAACAGAGCACTGAAATGACATGGAAGTAAGTATTTGGAAGTTCCCTGAAAATTTTTCAAATCAAAGTAAAATTGGTTCGGGAGCCAACAAGGATGAGCTGCAGTCAGCTCACATTAAAACAGTTGAATTAAATTATAAAACTCTTGCTGAACATTTTTATTTGACTCTAAAAACTTCAGGGACCCTGAAAGAAGTCAACTTATAATTACACTAGCGTAGTCTTGACATGAGCTTAGCTCCAAATCTTAATTTATCTAAACCAGGCCCCATTATGTCTTCTTTGACTAGAAAGAAACAACAGTGACCTCTGTGTTCCCCACCACCCCCATAAACATATGTTCACTTTTAAGTTTTGGCATACTATTTGTCTTGATAATACCACTGGCGCTATACTGAGATAACAGAAATGAGACACTAGGAATCCTCCCTCCTTAGCATGCTCTTCATCTTTAAAATATCACCGGAGCTATATGGAGGGAGCCACAGCGAGACACCGATTTGAGAGCAGTCCTCCCTTTATCCACCTTATTCTTCCAGGTCAAGTGCTTTCACGAGTTGTTGCTCAGGGTACCAAGTTCATCCCGGAGGCTGAATGACACCCTTCCCCTCCATAATAATCTCTCTCCAACTTGCCCGTGAAGACCTCCTTGGTCTGCTCCCATTCTCCATTGCCAGAATGACAGCTGGTTGCTCCAGTAGCACGGACAGCCTATTTTAGGAATGCTTGGTCACAGTCTAGTATCTACTATACCTGGCTAAAATCAAAATATCATCAACGAAATCAGCGGTTTTATCTCCACATTTGGGCAAGCACCATAAGCCTGGCCACCTATGTCAGGGAAGATGCTGAATGTAGTTTTATCTGAACATTGCCTCTTTCCTTTTTCAACTACGTCTAGTCAAGTTCAAAAACATAAAAGTAAAGTCTGTGGCTTTACTTTGGAATCTGTCACTCTTTATGCACTAAGAAATTTCAACATTGATTAAAGTCTGATGTCTACTGCCCCACAGATCACCTGGATTCCGTATCCAGGTTTGCAGAAGTGGGATGCTCTTCTGTGCTGTACTGTATGTGGTATTGTCTCATCCACTGCAGTCAGACAGAAGGCTGCAGAATTGTATTTCTGAATTTAAAGATGAAACAGGAAGATAAAGCTCTTTGCAAGGAAGCTGGGACTTGCCAGATGCTGGTGCATTCTGCATCAACACTTAAATTCTCTGAACTTACAGATATCAGCACATTAACATATTTGCAGTCCCTGAGACCGGCACATGACCACGATGTGTTGCTCCTGACAGGTCGACTTGGATCATTCAGCACTGCTGTGTCTTCTTTTGGGTTTAGACAACTCAGCATCCCAAAGACAACTCCTTAGTGAAGGGATCACGTTGCTTTCTGTGTCTGTGTGGAATTACCGAAGTATTGGTGATTTACTTGCAGTACAATTAACTGCATATCAAGTGTCTCAAACACAACTATGCTAAATATGAATTTTGTAGTCCTAACTCTTCTACTTATGCTCACTGTTCTTCAGTTGCAATTCTCACTCTCATTAGCCACCTGAACATGAAAGGTACGTCTTTTACTGTCCTGCACCCAATCTGGAACTAACTTACCAAGTAAAAATAAATTACTTAAACCAGAAGTTATTTTTCTGTTCTGATTTTTAATAAGTTGATGCCTTAATGAGACACCCATCCCCCTTCATTCGCACAGCTCCCTTACACATCTTTTGTCATATTGTTTTGCATCACAAAGTTTTTTTCATTCGTCTTCAATTACTTCGAGCTACTGAAATGCCATTAAGAATTGTACCAAGCATATTAAACAAAGGGAAAAGCATGATAACA